TTTTGATGAGAAACCATAAAACCAAACATATGAGGGAACACCAAACAAAACTCAAGAAACCCCAAGAAACAAAATTGAGGCTGAAACCCACGATTCTCCCTCAAAGAGTGTTTCTTGGATTCTCGTTCTCGAGGTTTTGCTTGGTGTCGTAGTAATCCAATGGCCGCTGCCATCTCTCTCTCTCTGTCTCCCTGACATCTTGCCTGCTTCTCCCGCGCTCTGATGATGTCCTGGCTCGAATCTAGAGCAAAACAGATCTAGGTGCAATCCTTGATGTCGTGAGCCCAGAGCCTCCTTGATCATGACTAGTATTGAAACGAGATTGGAGGGCCACTATTTCCTTATGACAAGGCCTCGGTTTGACAGGTTTCTGCTGTTTTGGGGCAGGACCTGGTTGAGTGCTGTTAGACAAGGCAAAACAAAACTGGGAAACGAAGCGGGGCCCACAACCGCAAGGAAGTAATTTCTTTCGACACTGGTTCATTTATGTACGATATGTTTCTTGCGGTAGATTCAGACATGTGTTGACTGCAGAACGATTCGGAACATGCTTTTATGTGCGTGTTGAACAGCGTTATATCATGATATCCCTTGCTTTTTTCAATGTTTGTGATCACGAAAGCAAACACAACTTCCAGGGGCAATTGGCAGTATGAGTGCCCAAGTTTGTTTTGCTGCGACAAGAGGATGTTTCTACGTTGCCCATATCCTCCTAAGTCTCTGAGATGGCAAGAACATTTTGTTCTAAGGAAATGCGCTCAAGCTCGCACATTGAAAAAAGCAAGCGCGTGCAAAAATTAAGCGCTTCCAGGGAATCTTTATCGGGGTGAGCCCCCTTATCATTGGTTGTCCCGGCTATTCCGCATGTCTACAACATCAACACAACGCCGAACGCTGAACTCAACAGCGGTAACTTTGACGGTGCGTCAAACAACAATCCCCACTACTGCCAGCAGGCATCACTATGTCAATCTATAAGCTGCCAGACCTCTTAGAAACAAGACATGCGCCAAACTCGAGTCTCCCGCTCTTTCGTGTCACGCGTCGCCTGATCCACACCAAATTGCGCAAGCATTCAACACTCTTAGGCTTCCCTGTGCCAAGCCCAGCTTGCTGCGACCAAGGCGCATCCGCCACCTCCTCCGGTGACATGTACTCTTTCATGGCTTTCTCCTAGCTTCTCTCGGGAGCAGTGGGCAATTGCAGAGTGATAAAACATAATGGAGCCAGCTCTTCCAGTATGGCAGTCTTGAAATGATGAACGCGTCACTCACTGTTTTTTTCCAGCAACAACCACACCCCAGCCCCAGGGGGTTTTGTTTTTCCCATACACCCCGGATCAACGGGACCCCACTCTGGCTCTGCGCAGACTTGAGAAGTGGTGACTTTCGATTTGGAGGGGGGGTGGGAAAAGCCTCAACGTCTTCTTTCACAGCAATTGATCAACTGCTGACCTTGGAGGCGGTGGGGTGAGGGTTTTGGGGGGGCAGTCTGAACAACACTTGGTTTAAACAGCGTCGATAAAGCCGCTGCACAAAGGCGCTCAATACTAAGCAAAGTTCTGGCAAGGCTTATTACATTCAATCGCTGAGGCTTGATGAAAAAGAGCGCCCGCTGAAAAGGTGTGCAGCTGCATCGTGCTGATTTACCCTGGCGATGTATTTGAATGTAATGATCTTTGTGTTTGGCAAAATATCAACGAAAAAGCAAGGTGAAATTGGGAAACACCACCATCCCCTCGCAGGGTTGTTAATTTGTTCCTGTACCCTACATGTACGTAGGGTTGCAAGCAGCTCCAGCAACAAGCGTTTGGATAGCACTGTGGCCATTTCCAAATGTGTGGATTCTGAATTGTGTTGCACCTGGGAATGACCAAACATGACCCCTTGGCTTTCTTCTCGGGGTCCCCAGGCTTTTAAGGAGCATGGTGGCAGGTCTGCTTGAGCAAGAGTGCTGCCGTGCCTTCTTGGACACCTCGATGCTAGCCACCTCATTGTAGGCCTTGCGGTAGCCATTCGAAAGGCCCTTTGACACACACACCTTCACGGCCCTTCGTTGCCATTCGCGCAATGTCTCAACGCCGGTGTAACAGTGCAACGAAAAATAAATAAATAAACAAATGTCGTCGACAGCTCAAGGTTGTTGGCCAGCGGGCGCACCACTTCTAGAGGCATCTTGTCAATTTTTACAATTGGGGTGTCCTGCCATACTTTACAACCAGTGCGGTCTCATGTTCTCTCTATTCTAAAGGATGTTGTATGGCATCAACCCTGCATTTAGTTGAACATCTACCCTCACCATGCCGCCGACGCACGCAATGCAAGTGAATGCTGATTGCCTACGCAATGACGCTCCCTTTGCCCAGTAGCCAGCTGGTTAGCCAGTTGGCAAGTTCGCTACTTGGCTGGTTCATTCATGAGTTGGCTAGCCAGTTGGTTCGCTGCCTGGGCAATACCTAATAGTTTGTTGGTTGGTTCAAAGATGGCTAGTGTGTCAATTAGTTGCTTCATCGCCTACTGAGGCAGTTAGCTAGTTGGCTGGTCAGTTAGCCGCTGAGTTGGCTCATTGACTCATTTCTTAACCATTTAGGAAGCGAGCCCAATGATTTTGCGGGCTAATTATTGGTCAGCTAGGTAGCCAGCTTGCCAGTGGGCTTTGATGGTTTGTCCGACTGGGCCTGATTGATGGTCTCCGACAGGCGTGCGGATGCTGTTGACCGCCAAATGCTCGATGATTAAGGGTTTTCTCCTCGATAGTAAATTAACGATTTAGCCAGCTATTTTGGTCAGAAGCTTGTTGGCTTCACCAATTAGTTCACATTGGCTAGTTGGCTGTTCGCCGTCAAGCCGTCAAGTTGCTTGGCTAGAAAGCCAGTCAAATAAACAGTAGGCTGGCTAGTTTCTAGTTGGCTAGCTGAAGGGTTAGCTAGCTAGCTTAGCCAGCTAGATAACACGCTAGTTAATTTTAGCAGTGCCGAACCCGTCCCACATGGTCCCACTACTTACTGGCAAACAAACACCAAACCGGGTGGATGTGCTCTGCAGATAAAAAGATGCGCGATCACTTTCGGAAAGGTCACTAACGAGCCCACCAACCCATCAAACTGCCACTAACGAGCCCATCAGCCCAAAATGTTGGCACACACTCTCCAGGGCTGCAGTCTCGGCACTGCCGGGTAGTTGATGCTAGTTCATGGTCTCTAAGACACTTAGCCAACCAGCTCTGACGAGCTCTTGTCAGCCAGTGAGTGGCCAGCTACCTACCAAATTAGCTAGCTTGCTTGCCGACCAGTTAGGTAGCTAGTTTGCTAGTTAACTGGGTAGCTATTCAGCTAGTTAGCTAATTAGCTTTTCAATCAGTCAGATGGGCTCAGTAGTCGGCTATTAGCTTGGAAAGGCAATGCCCCCTGCGCCCCGCCTGCGTCCGTTCTTTCTTCTTCACTTGCCTAAGGACCTGCCTCCGCGGCTGCCGCTGAATGGGGCCTGGACAAAGTGTTGCTAGATGGTGAGAACACGGCAAAACACGGTAATCTAAGAAGCTCCGATGTCTTTTGGTAGGTGTGGTATGGAGGGTCGGAGACTGGATCAGAGCAAGGATTCTGGCAAGGATGCTTGAAGAACACCGCTCCCAGTATTGGTGAGGCAGCATCTTCCCACGATGCTTCCGCAAATGCTCAATTCGTGCAACCCTGCAAGCCGCGACACTGCAAACAACCACTAAACGCAGAATGTCTGGCATTCCATGTCAGGCAATACACGGTCCAACCACAGTTCGAAGTCAACAGCACAGCAACAAAAACATCCATGCCCGGCTAGCACGGCCTGCGAAGGCAAGCGCCCCAAGGATATAGCTCGCCTGGGGGGGGGGGGCGAATGGCTGCCAACCGTATTCTTCCTCTTCAGGAAAACATCTTAGAGCAAATTGACAAAGGTTCTGGTCTTTCGTGTTTGGAATACTACCTGCTGTTCATGACCAACCACCAGGACGATGACAAACATAGCACAAACGATCCGCCCCCCTCAAACGCGGTCGCTGACTTTTAGATGGGTTTGCAGTGGGTGGCAGCATGTGAGCCTGGTTGAACCCATGCAAATGTCAAGCGCTGCTGCTTCCGCAGCTCTGCTGCGCTCGGAACTCCCACGAGGCTTCGCCACTCGGCACCCGGCGGAGGCGACGCCAATAAGTCTTCTCAGCCTCCATGGTGAACGGCAAGCGATTTATCAACAGGCCATGTGTGACATGCAAACTACGTTGCGAAACAGTACTACTTGACCCATCTGCAGGTTTTGGCCAACTCACTGATTCTCCGCCAACCCTCTTTTACTGGGTTAACTCGGCGACAAACTAATCAATAGTATCTACTCTGGATTGACACGCATCACTTAAAACACTGGCCCAAGAAGGCACGCACAGAAGCGAGCAAGCAAAAAGCAAGCAACAACGAAAGAAAGCAAGCAATAAGGCAAGAAGCAAGCGAGAAACAAGAAACCAAGCAGGCCGGCAGGCAAGCAAGCGAGCAAGCAAGAACGCAAGAAAGAAGGCAAGTACGCAAGAAACCAAGAACACAAGGGCAAGGAAAGGCAGCGCAACGCAAGCGCATTGGCAAAACCAAACAGAAACGACTACGCACACACACACAGCACTCACACACACACACAAACATAGCACATGCGCAGCACAAAGAAAGAGGGAGATAAAGCGCACGCACAAACACGAGCAGGATGATGATCACCTGTTGAAGGGCCCCTGCGATGCAAAATCTCTCAGTATCCTGCTGCTGGAAAACAGCCTTCACGATTCTCCCAATACCATCCCCCGTTTGTCACAAGCCTCATTGGCCCGCTCTGCTCTAAATGGTCTTGCGCACACGCGCCGGCTTTGAGCCAAAGCTAACAGTGGCACAAACCTCTCACCCAGGAATGTCACCTCATGCGTCACTGGCCGTTTATCACATCGCAACTCTGCAATGCGCTGCTGCCTGGTGCCACCAACCGACATTTAGTCCAAGCCCATGTAGCCTTTGCTCCAGCAGGCGATAAGCTTTTCTCCACTCCTTGCATCAAGCAGGCTCGGCGTAGCCTGCCAATAGCTGATCTGGGGTCGGAGATGATCTGAGCGGCGAGGGGTGCCTGATTTGCAGTGACATAGTTGGTGAATACGATCAACGAGATCCCAGGCAAGTCACAACTTCAAACCACTTCTGATTCGTGGGCATGAGGAGTCATTGATGCTACTTCTACTGGCATGTATTCTTGCTTCGGATCCAAGTCGGACTATGTGCCCGGGCGCAAGGATTGGCCCCCTTCGAAACATGTTTGATATGTCTGCCATACCGCGGTCACCGTAGCGCTGTCCAAGGATATCCAAAGGTTCGACAAGATAAGTGCCTGGGCTGCATAGCAAATTCACACGGCTGACAGCCCTAGCAATGAATTGCCCGCCCTGAACCTGTTTGCAACCCTCTTGTTGGGAGGTCAGCGTCCTTGGGCAAAAGGTACCGAGCACATCCATGGCGTTCCGCTGCACTTTTAGTGCCTAGAGCTGGAACTTGCCAGTGTCTGCTACCGCTTGTTTACACGGCCAAAACATCTAGTACTTTCTAGCTGCAGGGGAACGGCAAACGAGCAATGACCGAGATTCTAGATGCTGTCTTCAAGAGTGAAGAAGTGAGGCCTTGCCTGATGCCCAACCGAAGCCTCGTCGCGACAGTCTCGAAGCGAAGGAAGTGAACGCGGAGCGTGCAGACTGCGAGGGCATGCGAGGCTTGGGCGGAAGAAAAGGACCCGGAGGGAGGATGGGGAGGAGACATCCGCCGGGTGTGCCGGGCCTTGGAAAGGCTGAGCCGTCTCTTCCCTTCACATTGCTCAGCCGGACTGACAAACCAAGTGTAGGATTATTTCAACCCGTATGGTAAGGCTTGTAACTACAGCCTGCGCCCAACAGGACATGTCTAGTCTTCTGTGCACCTGCATCCCTCGTCCAGTATGCTGGTGGAACTTGGGTTGGGTAAAGACTCAGGTAGTGATTGAGGTTCAAGGGATTCATCCATTCCAAGCTCATTGATGGACTGGCCAGACAGGCAACCAAATGGTGCAGAGGCTGCACTGAGTAAACACAAATACATCACATTACTTCATACATGCAACATGAAGTTTGAAAGGCATTGCAACATTCACACACACACACAAACTTCTGGTTTCACACCAGTCTGTCCGTGGTGCCCAAGCCTCCAAGACAGGGGCGGGCCCGTCTTGGCCCAGCTGGTCCTAGGCAAAGCATCTGACTTCAAAACAAGAGATGAGGCTCGCAAGACTCATCCCATGTGGGTTGCATGAGCGCAACTCGAGAAAGGATCCTGCAGCAAGTCCCTCTACCACCCATCAGTGAGATCGGCGTCGTGCGCCGCTCGCCAAGCATTTCTCTGAAACTCTTAATATAGGTGCGAATATCAAACTTTGCTGATAGAAAGGACCGGTATGGACCGGTGCTTTACTTGGCCCGCCCCATGGCAGGGAGATGGTCCTTGAGCTTGTTGGCGGCCGCTGCCGTGGTGGCATACGAGGAGAAAGCGAAGCCCTGCGCCGCACGATGCTAGGGGGAATTCTGGGAACCAAATACAGCTCCTTTGAGCATCTTCTTTAGCTTACCCTAGTTTCCTGGATGGGCAAGGCTCTTACGAGAGGGGGTACTGCTGGCGGGGGTGCCAGCAAATTTGCTTGAGGATGACATTGTGTACATTGGCAGCTCTGTTGAAAGATCTTCATGTACATCTTAGTTGCATTGTTTCTCATGCTCGTCTGATAACAAGCACTATGATGCCAAGTGATTCTCTGCCTTGAATAAAGCAACATCAGAAGCATCAGCCAGTCGTTTAGATACGGTGTTTGTTCGACCCAGCCATTCCTGATCCTACGTATCATCTATAACTGCAGCAACACAACCTGAAGGCCGTGCAAACCATGAGTCAAAGCCAGCAAGTGCACTTATGTTCTGCGAACCTGGCATCTGGGTCTGCTCTAACCGCGAACGGGCCAGAGCCCCAGCCCCTCCCGCAAGGCCTTTGCACGCTCGAGCGGCGTGAGCCGCGGCAGCGACAAGGTCGGCTCCAGGCGCCCAAACAGCCCCTGGAGCTGGGCCTGCCGCTCCTGGTACTTCTGAAGAACCTGAAATGCACCGAATGCACCGAATTCACCGAACGCACCGATTTTGAAGTGAATGAAGTGGCGTCAACGCTGCTTCTTTCATTAACTTTCATCAGCTGTCGTCGTTCCTCCAATCCTCTGTTCCTTTGCACCCTTGGGACACCTGTGTTGCAACACGAAAGGCAAACTAAAGAGGGTGGGGTGGCTGATGCTGACAGAGAAAGCCTGTCGCAAATCCTGATGCCTGACTGTTTGAGCAATCGCCAAGCAAAACTGCATTGCGATTTCAAGCGAATCCTGCAAGTACGCGCTCCGTCGAAAGAGATCCCTTCAGCTGGCCTGGGCTCCGGTCTACAAGAGGTGCAAGGTGTGTGAACGCTTAAGCTTGCATAAAGGAATAGGATCATCCGCAGTAAGCAGTTGATCGCAAGTGGCAGTACCTTACTGATATGTAGCTCAGGTAGCTGCTATCAATCGAGATTCCATCAAGCCATGTTTACTCATGCGAACTGAAAGGGAAGGTACCCACCAGTGGACTCCATCATCTGGTCAATGTAGTGAGAGGAAACAAATCTGCCAAGACAAGATCATCTCACGGGATCGAGCACTCCCCATATGTGATTCAAAGTCAAGGTACAGCTTGAGGCACTTTACAAGGTGCCGGACATCCGACTATTCCTAGATCAGGCGAATTCAAGGAAAGGTGTTGCTAGTGATCTTGATCACACCAGCAATTGAAACTAACCCTTTCCTTTCCTGCCAGCCACGCACACAGTTTTATGGTAGGCCCTCGGATGAGTGGGACGGAATCATGCCAGCGACCATGCTTGCCTCTTCATCTGCTTCTGCTGGTCCAATGGCAGCGACTGCCCGGTGAGTAGTAATCACTCGATGGTATCTGCGGTGCAAGGAAGCTCTCCCAACGCATCTCCAACTCACAACTCGCAACTGCATGCCGGTGCACTTTGACCAGAAAACATGGATAAGCTGCGATGCCGGCATGCACTTTTGGCAGCGACTCGCAAGAGCCACCAGGTTTCATGGACTGGCATGCGCGAGTCCAGAACCAACTCAAACCTTTGCAGACTTTTGGGGTCCTGCGCAAAATAGAATCTGAATGCATAGTTTTATCTGGATTCGCAGTTTGCTGTTGTGGGATCGCCCTTTTTGAGATTGTGATTTGTGTTGTCCTGGGTGATGGCTTCAGGGATGTCTTGCTTCGGGTGCATGTCTTTGGGGGGTTTTGGGGTGTCTTTCGGGATGTTTTGCGTTTGGTTTGGGTGATGTCTCTGGGGATTTCTTTGCAAGCCGTGGCGGGGGATGCATGTGCTGGGACGGCTTCGGGTGTGTGCGGTTGGCAATGTCTGTGTGGCTGTTTTTGGGTGATGTCTTCAGGGATACTTTGGGGATGATGTGTTTGGAAGGGATCTTGGGGAGACCCGTTCAAGGGAATGTCTTTGGGGGTGTCCTTGGGGATGTCTTTGTGGTTTTTGTTGGGTGATGTCTTTCGGGGATGTCGTCCAAGGGTGTCTGTATATTTTCAGAATTACGGGTCTTGCCCGTAATTTTAAAACTCTGTGATTTTGCGTCATTGCAAAACAAGTTTTGTGTTTTGCTCAGTATGTTTGAGGCTTAGCGGGTGCCAAATCACTTCACCTAAAGTCTATATAAACGATCATGTCCCTAACCCCTGAGAGGGCCTTCGTGAGAACGACATGACAACAGCTTGCAAACAACGCGATAGTCGCGATTTAATTTGCCCAGTCACACGCCGCCTGAAAACAACGTGAATCATGAAACAGATATTATGAACACTGACATGAACACGACACTAGTAGATTTGTAGGCCGCAAGCAATAGAGCCCGGTTGATGCCGAATTCACGTCCCTATCTGACTTAGACCCCCATGTTTGTACTTTTGACTCTTGCAAACCCAAATCACCAAAAACGAACCTGGTCAATGTCGGCACATGACTAACAACCCCACTCTGATTAAATTACAGACACCTGGTTTCTCAGCCGACTGCCAGCTGAAGCCAAAGCCCATACTACTTTGAAGGCGCCTGCAAGGCTCAATTTTGGGAATCTGAAATTACCAAAGCCGTTGTCCTGGCTCCTTGCACAGTGTCAAGGATTGGCTAGCCCGAAACAGCAGCTTTCGCATTCCAGTCAACTCCCATGTGATTAATCCTTGCCCCTTCCAACCCTGGAATATTAAAAATGCAATTTCTTTTCACTTTCCTATTGCAGCCCTATTGACCAGACAGGGGTCCACACAGGTAAGGACAGGAGAGGACCGAGCAGGTCCAGACTATTCCGAGCGGGCCAGGACAACCCTCCAAAATCCAGTTTTCCCATCCCTTGTCAACCTTGGCGGGCGGGAGGGGCGGGGGTTCTTAATCAGTCTTAATCATGCTCCCCCATCAGTGTGAAGTCATTTTCGGACCCGGCGCCGTTGTTGACCGATGTCGAAACCACGCCGGACTCACGCCGAATCCCGCCGTTGTCACGCCGTTTCAGAATGACGCCGAAAATCGCGCCGGAATCACGCAAAGATTTCCCGCACCCAACACCGAAAGGCACCATTTCTGAGTCAGACGCACACTCACTTTGAGTCAGGCAGCCGAAGAGTCACACACCCAGGCAGGTCAGACAGTCAGATGAACCCTGTGAGTCAGTGAGTCGATGATGTAAAGCCGTGAGTTGATTGATTCAGCCACACAAAGGCAAACATCAACAAAGACAAGTAAGTGACTTGTTGATATGTCACACACGCAAATCATGCCAAGGGCTTATCAAGTTGGAGTTCCTTATAAATTAGGAGAAACAGCTGTGTGAACGCAAAATCATCAAACTTTACAGTCACTTTGGTTTTCGCCAGACGCCCCCCCCCCCCCTGTTTCCCCGAAAATACCATCAAAAGCCCGAATAGCAAACCACCAATTCAAACCACAAATTCCTGTGGGTACTGGCCGCGCGCGGTGAGAATAAACGGCGCAACAAAGAGGTTCATAGACTTGCGGGCCAACAGGTCTACTTATGTCTACTTGTGTCCAACGCAGACTGGCACACAGTTGACAAAAAGAGCAGATATCTGATTGAATGGAACTCGTCCGAGTCGACCCAAATCTGATCTGCCAAGACACGCATTCCCCATGGCACAGGCTGAGACAAGAGGGCCGAGACAAGAAACATGCGCGAAAGGTCCATCTATGGACTTCTAATGGCTTGTCCCAACGGGATCCCTCAATGGCCTGGCGATGGTTGCCTGGAGCTGCCTGGCCAAGGCCTCCTGCTTCTGCTGGGCGAGCTGGCACCTCGGATGTAGCGTCCGAGTCATCTAACATCTGTTGATTGCTATTCCTGTCTTCAATGCAAATGAATCAAATGAACAATCCATGTTGGGCCTGAACACGACGACAGCCACCAAACCCTGCAGGGATGCAACCAAATACAACCATGGCAAGCCGCACATGCGGAATGTAAATGCTTCCCTTGACCAAGGAAACACATTGGCACCCGGCCCGGTTTTATGCACGGCAACTTGCAGGCGAATGATACTTCGATTTCAACAACCCTAATAGAGTGCGTGCTACCACTGGAGGCTGCAAAGAGTTTCCACCCGCTGTTACCTCTTGCCTTTTTCAAGCTGTCCTTCAAGCTCTCCTTCGCGACCCTGAGCACTTTGCCTTCCATCTAAGCGCCCGTGCTCGCGGCGGCAAACCGTCTTCTGATCATCCGCGCTTAGGAACTTCAGCCTGTTGCACACCGTGGTGGAGTATCGTGGAGTATTGCGCCGCCCTCAACTAGTCATCCTATCATAGCATTCTGTTCCTTTACTAACATGACTATATTTCAATATACCTCAATATATTCAAATATGTTTCATCATGGCACACATCGGCCGTCCGGCCTTGCGTGGATCTGCTCCAGGCCTGGAGCCCCGGAGCAGAAAAGCCCTTCAGCCGACCACACAAGCCAGCCATAACAAGGACCTTCTTTGTGTTTGTTGCATCTGCTTTGCTTGCCGCATTTGTCATTCCTCCATTGCTCATCTCGAACTTGCTTCGCGAAGCCCGATCTTGCTGTTGTCATTTAGTTCCTCCCCTTGCGTTTGCCGCAACGTGGCTGCTACTACTGATTCTGATCTATTGGTTTCCTCACTCCAAACATAACGCTTGCTGTATTCTTTGTTCCGTGCCATTTCTATGATTGAATGTTGTACGCCTGGGCACGTTCGGGAGCATGCACACACACCAAAACAAATATGACAGAGGTGTCCACTGCCAGAACAAATGCATCTCTGAAAGCAACTCTGTCAGGGAAAAGTTGATGTTCCAGCCTTTCAAAGCATCAGATCATTGCCAGACATGTGGGTTGCGGGTTACTACCTCCCGAAAGTTATCAAGCAGCAACCACTCGGCAACCGCACCCGCCAACCACCAACCTCTCCTTTCCCTTTTTCTCAGAAGCAACATGAGCACATGCCACAAAAAGCATGCCCAGCCAGTCGCCTGCCAGCATCCTGCCAAAATAGCAACCTGTCCTGCCAACCATCACTCTGCCAACCAGCGCCCTGCCAATCAGCACCCGCCAGCCAGCACGCTGCTAACTACACCGCGCCAACATCCGCAGCAGCACCCTGGCCTCCAAGTCGCGAAGTAGCAATCACCACCAACCAAATGCAGTATCTCCACTCATCGCACACAGCCATGCGCAGCAACTTCCTACTGCTGTCCTGCAGCACAAGGACACGAACCAACGCGGTCAAACAAAAGCCCCTACCTGCCCGCAGGACTTCTTGATGTACGTTGGAAAGCAATTTGTAGGCGTGAGAGCAAGAGAGAACATTGGCAGTACATTCACTGTATATGTAAGACACATGTTAGAAAGCAGGCCTGGAATGAAGCTGGAGACATGAAGTCAAAGTGACGCGGTTGGACATCAAGGCTTGTGCACCCACTACTGATCCTGAAAAGCGTGGCAACCTGGTTGAACAATGATTTGCAGAATGGTCGCCTGAAACGATCTACAACGACTGCCAAAATCAGTGAAACCGAAACTGAAATGACAATGCTGGGCCGATGTGAAACAAGCAACGCCTTAGCAGGCCTGGGCCGCTCTCATTCGCCGAGCCCGCAGCAACCGGGTCTGTGAACGCCTTAGACCATCGCCGACATATTGTCTGCTCCAGACACTGCGACGGTCGCCACACAGTACACCATGCTGACTTGTTGGGTTCAAGACATGAACACTTGCCCCAGCAGTTGCTGCCAAATTGGTTCTCACCTAAGGATTGCACGAAACGTCAGCAAGGAAACAGCGGTTGCTATTGCCACTGTCATGAAACGTGTTTGTGTGCTTTCAGGCCTCTGACCGGCACTCGGCCCAACACAAACTGGAAATACCAGAGCTGCAGGACATGGAACGGATCAGGACAAACCAGGAAGCACTTCAAGAGCTCAAAAGATCGTTACCAAAGCGTAGGGTTCTTGGGACATTTGTTTTGCCACGCTGCCTGACATCTCAAGACGTTATGCTTGTATTGTAGATCCTGTCTCGTGAGCGCTTTCATGTCAGGCAGTGCGACGCCACCATAAGCACTCGAAAGCGTATGATTGGTCAACGACTACAAGTATGCCTGCAACATAATTATATCCGCATATAAAACTGGCTACGAAAGGTGAGCAACAAGCTGCCTGCCCTTGGAAATATAACAAAAATGTATGTATATATACGACCGGCCGTGGCAAAGGAGCCAACATAGCACGCTCTCTCCAGCCTGCTCAAAGCTGGAAGCGCGCTCCGACTCGGCGCCGTTCTCTTTCTCTGTCTGGCACAAGCGAGTTTAAATGCGCTGACCCGCTCTGCCAATCAGCCAACATCTAGGCCACAGTTTGGACCCTCAAAAGCTTGCCGACTTCACGCAGCGTCAGTCTCGTTAGGTCTTCTCCCAGAGATTATGGCACAGGGCAAGCGTACATAATAGCGTCGATAGCCGCGGCGGGAGCCGAAGCAGAAGCATGAGCAGCAAAGGAGGCGGCAGCAGCACTATGCAACCAACCAACCAAACAAACAAGCAAGCATGCAAACAAGCAAATAAGCAAAGAAGCACAAACAAGCAAGCAAGCCACACACAAACTAGCAAACTGGAAAACATGGAATAGCTAATAAAACACGAAACCAAGCAACCAACCAGCAAGCAAGCAAGCAAGCAAGCACGCGCGCACGCACGCACGCACGCACGCAAGCAAACAGCCAAGCACGCATTCAAAAACAACCAAACAACCAAACAACCAAACAAACAAGCAAGCGACAAGCAAGCGACAAGCAAGCAAGCAACAAGCAGGCAAAAAACATGCAAACTGGCAAGCAGGCAAGCAGCAAAAAACAAACAAACAAACAAACAAACAAACAAGCAAACAACCAACAAACAACCAAGCAAAATCGAAAACAAATGCTCGAAAGTGCTGCGCCTGTCACGCAAAGCAAGCTTGCGACGGACTCAAAAGCCTTCGAAGTATTGCGCGTGTCACGAAATCCAACTTTGACACGTTTACTACGCGCGTCCAAAACTAGTACGGGATTGTGGCACCAGACTGACTTCCACCCATTTCAAGCTAGTCAAAGCGGGCCGATGGTGCAGCAGGACCAACGAAAATGACACTCACGCAAGCGCTTCCACGCACATGCCAAGCAAAACACCTCAAAACGACCCTGAAACGCAAATCACAACGGAACGGCAATCCGAACACGCAACCTTCCAACGCAGCGAAACGACACGCACAGTCGCAAAAGACAATTCACGCACAGGCGCAGCGAATTCAACACATCCAAGGCTCACCGCAAAGTCGTTTCTCTTGGAATCCCCATGGCACGGCGAGCGCGACACACGCGAACGCTTCGCGAATTGCTCTCGTGTAACGCACTGTCTTTGGTCACTTCCCAACCCCCAGACTCTAAATCTTTAAACGGGGACCCTTCTGCGCAGCCACACATTCGGGAAAGCAAACACGCGCACAAGCACACAGTTTTGTGCTTCGTGCCTCGTTATCCTCTGCTGACAAGTCAAAGTGCTTGGGAGAGGCGGCACTTTCTTCGACCTGGCTTTGTAGAGGCGCAGACCCGGAGACCAGGTCTCTGACTGCATGTCCCAGCGCAATATTCAAGTTGTGGTGAAAGGCCACGACGCAAAAACTGACACAAAGTCTACATCCTTTTTCATTGCGTTAGATTGACGCTTTTGGAAGTGAAAGGCTTGCTGCTTGGCACTTCCCAGCCTCGGGCTCTACCGCGAAGCCCTCCATAACCGCACCGTTTGAACGCCCTCCAAATTGAAGCCGCTGGACATTGTACATCCTCACAAGCGCCCAAGGGGCTAACGTGCAATCCAAAGCTTCGCTCCATGTAAAGCCTGCCGGTGCCACGATGATTCATGCCAGCAAATGGCAAACGCAATGCTTTTAACTCTGAAAGAAAGGCGTTGTCTTTGCTTTCTGGACGAGTCCATCAAAAGCCTATCGAGCCCACATGGCTTCAGCAGCGCAGTACTAAATTGCCGAATGTACTTCACCAAAAATAGTTAAACATCTGAAAAGATCAGATCGCTTCTGTGATGGTCCGAAACAAGAATTGATGCTCCCATCAACACGCCACATAATAGAGATACCTTTACCGGGAGTTCGACCAGAAAGGGCGATCTTCTTGACGAGGATGCTCCTTACCACCTACACCCGCCCACACACACACACGGTCACCAGTCGCTCTGCTGTTGTGCGCTATGCGCGGTATACCGGCGCATCCCTCGCATCAGGCATAAAGCCTCAACTATTCTCACTACAGTCTGGCACTGAACGTGCCACATGACTTGAAAATTGCCCTCACAAGTTTGAAACTTTGTGAAGGACTCAGTCACGTCACCAGCAAAGCACCCATCCCATGTGCAAGCGCGATTCACTATGCAAACCTTGAAGAACCGCGGGTTGCTTCTTGGCAGCCGGTACGGCCTCGGGCCAATTCCAAGTCCCACCAACGTGAGACTCAAAGCCTCCATCGAGGCTCTTGCTACCTGGCGCAAGGGAGGCGACATGGGGTAGATGCTGGGCTGTTGAGCTGTTTAGCAACTTTCTGCTTGCAAGCTATTGCCAGCGGATTCGAAGGCAAATGACCAGCAAAGCCGCCCACTGGCATGACCGCGAAGCGTACACATTAGGGTAGGGATTAGGGTGAGGTGGGCTGGGCTGGGGATGGGGAAGGGTGGGGTGGCATGGGGTAGCGTGGGCGGATGGGAATGGGGTAGGGCGCTCTGTTTCAGGCCGCTTGCCATTCAGAACCAGTCAATGAAACAGGACGTGTTGACAGCGACGGATACAAGCAGCCCACCCTAGTCGTGCTAAGTTCCAGCCTACTGTTGAAATACCCCTTGCGTGCCAAAGCTGGATAACTGCGGCGCAATTCAGAGTTTGATCGCGGTAATAACAGACAGCGAACTCGCAAAATGGAAGACTAGAAATGCGCCTTTCGCAGCGTGCTCAAATTGAAACAGGCTGAACGCTGCAGCTAAGCAATACCAATCAAGCAGCTGTGACGTCAATTGCTGTCGAAGCGTTGCTTTCATAACCCGGACTGTGTAGAAGCTATGCGGAATCCCTACTCCGTCATTTTGATGGCCACCGGCTCAAAGTGCTCTACCTGACTGCAGCCTCCGAACTCCTTGCTTGCAGCATCTTGCGGTGTCCAACAGTCACAAGGCAGCTTGTGCACCATTTGACTGCGCCGCGTGCTTATCACTTGTCAAATCTGTCTTGTTCAATCTTACCCTTATCCACATGAAGCACTCTCAGCTCCTTCCTTTGTTTCTGGAATCCTATCAAATGTTGGCAAACCAAATGCACGTACCGTATTTTGTGTGCGCTGTATGTGTGAGGCGAGGAGTTTGAGGGGTGGATGATGTGGCGTATGTGGGGCGAATGAAATCTGCATGGTTGCCTACCTCTTTCCCTTCGCATGTTCCGGATAATCTACTTGCATCCCTTCGGAAAACAACAGCTGAAGCCATGCATGAACTGCACAAGCTCTGCGTCGCCCAATATGCCTCCATGCCCTTTCGTGTCCCCCTGGCCTAGACATGTCGCACACTGCATCGGACAGGCAGTTGGGGCCGCTCACCCCGCACTGGATGTACTCAGTCCTTGCCGTGTCAGCACGCAATGTGCTGAGTGACTGTTTCTCTCGTCGCTCTGCCTAAACCCCCCGAAGCTCTCACCTGAACACCATCACATCACCAACAAATCAAATCAAGCCTGCAATCCTGCCTTGCTTTCACGGGAGCCTGAAATTAGCAACTGTCACATGCTGCCATGTCCAAACATTTAACATAGAGGCTTTTGGCCGCAAACAATGCCGAACCCTCTGCAGTGACCATAGCTCACAGGCATCTGGTCGTCGGTGCCGCATCTTCACACAGGCCCTTCATATTGATATAAGCCTCACCCGCACCCTTTGTTTGGTTCCAGTCAAAAGCTGGTTCCGTTGTCCGTTGTTCAGCAGTACCCGTACTTGAGGAGCCGGCTCATACTTGATGTAGGTGTTGTCGCACTCGCTGTATTCACTCAGGTAACAGCCTCAGGGCCGGGTTTCGGCGGCGGCCATCTTTGAATGTATCTGCAAGCTTTGATTTCGAGAAATTTTGCGCCATCTGTCTTCGGCTGCTCTGTGTTTAGATGTTGGCAAAGATTGAAGTCCCGATTGTAAATTCCCGTGCTGGCCATTACAGGGCTGAACCGTGGAAATGTTTCAGCGTAGAACACTTGGCGCGAATGAATTGTGATGCTTCATCAATCAAATTAATCGTATGTTGCATCGAGTAACAGAAGGTTGGTAACTTCGTCTAAGTACACATTTGTAGGGACAGCAGGCTGACACGCATTGCTGAGATTCATGCAAACACCCACCCATCCAGCCCCCTCCCTCGCACACAGACGCACACACGCACACAGAGGCACACAGAGGCACACAAACACACAGAAACACAGAAGCAGTCTGGTGACACACCCACACAACACACCCACACACACACAGACACATACACACGCAAACCCTCAGACAAAGGCAGACAGACGGACAGGCACAAACACACACGACGCACCCACACACACACAGACACATTGCAAACAAACAAACACACACACACACAAACAAACGATCAAGCACAAAGAGCCACAAACAAACAGGAACACAACCACAAATGGAAACAAGCACAAACACACAAACACACACTTAAGTGCCTCCGTAAAGTAGAAGAAAACAGACCGTCGAGCAGGTGTCTTTCGAGTAAGCAATTCGAGTGGCACATCGTTCCAACAAGAAGCGCACACAGCGGCCAAAGAAGGGGGCCAAATAGTCTCACATTCGTGCAGGTAAGAAGGCAGATCAGGCCTTGCTTCCCCTCCAGTGATGCAGCTGCGTAAGGTTCATCACTGGAGGCCTTGCCCCCCTGCACAAACTGGCATCAGGATCTGATGCTCAGCACACACCACACACACACACACACCCACACCCACACCCACACCCACACGCACACGCACCGCACGGCACCGAACGGCACCGCACGGCACCCCACGGCACCGCATCCACGCACGCACCCACCCACACACACACACACACGCACGGGACAAAACACAATGCAAACACGCACACATAGAGACACACACACAGGCATGCAAACAAATGCAAACAAATGCAAACAAATGCAAACAAATGCAAACAAATGCAAACAAATGCAAACAAATGCAAACAAATGCAAACAAATGCAAACAGGCACAGAGACATAGACAGTCGGCCAAACAAATTGCCGTGGAACAATCCCTTTCAAAGAAGCGTCATCAATTGTCAATTGTCAGTATATCTCTCATGAATCTTTCCACATGACGCTGCTCCCGTTGCAACGGCTCACAAACTCCAAATTAGCCAAGATGCCTTGGACTAACCTTGGCAAACAGACGGCTTGCAGTGGCGCGCCGAATGAAGTGCAAATCACGTCCCAACTCCCAACCATACAGGAGGCGCACTGATTTGCAGCGGAGCATTGTAAGGCTCACTCTCCATTACATATTCACATTCGAGATCCGTCATCAAGCTGGGATGTTTGTTCTCACTCAAGGAATTTCCGATGGCTCTCAAAGAGAGTCAATTTTGTGAACAAACCCCTCGACACTTTGTAAAGAGAGCTACGCCCCAAACATGACAACTGCGACTCAATTGGGATCATAGCAAGCACGGCAACAATGGCCGGTGCTTGATGCAGCCTAGCCGCTTGCCTTTGCATCCGGGCTGCTTGCACTCGCCGTTCACCAACTGACACACATGCGGCTTGCGGAGCGAACAAAGGCACAAAACAGAGACCGGAAACGCCGATTGATCTTGACGGGGAAAAATGCCCAAAACCAATTGCATAATCGTCTGCAGCATTGCCCCGACGTGCTCATCATACTATATATACTGAATGGTCCATCTGTGGTGAATCTGGCTTACAACTATATGTAAAGGGAATGCAAATTAGATGGAACGCTGCCCTTTTGCCAAACGATTGCGTGATACACTTGCACTTGCCGCGGTGTTGCTGTGATATGGGCTTGCCGCATCGATATCTGGTTGCGGCAGTGCATGAGCTGCTTTTCTTGTGATTTTGGCAGCAATGGCCCCAGTTCTTATGCCCCTTTCTGCGGTGATCATCACCTTGTCTCTGGGCCCTATAGGTTCTCAGAGAGAACCAAATCAGCCTCCCCTCAGATACTGGTCCGATCAGCTCGCTGAACGAGCATGCGGGGGGGAGCGTGGGGGTGTGAGGGTTGGGGGGGTGCGGGTTGGGGGGGGCTGATGGTTGGGGGGGGTGGGTTGAGGGTTGGGTGGGTTGAGGGTTGGGTGGGTTGAGAGTTGGGTGGGTTGAGGGTTGGGGGGGTTGAGGGTTGGGGGGGTTGAGGGTTGGGGGGGTTGAGGGTTGGGGGGGTTGAGGGTTGGGGGGGTTGAGGGTTGGGGGGGTTGAGGGTTGGGGGGGTTGAGGGTTGGGGGGGTTGAGTGTTGGGGGGGTTGAGGGTTGGGGGGGTTGAGGGTTGGGGGGGTTGAGGGTTGGGGGGGTAGACCATGTATAATGTGGCGCGCGCGCGCGTGGCTCACATGACCCGCGCGCCCCTTTTTGTTTTCATTATTCGAATCACTCCATATACTTTTACAGGGGCGGGTGACTGTTGAGGAATGCCAAATCCAATTTTTCTAAGTGTCTAATTCTTCCAATTATTCCCGAATGGACCGGCGTCTGAAAGGGACAGGTGCCTTTGGGGAATTCCAGATGCAGTTGATTTAATTCGTCTAATGATTCTTTCTATTATCATTCTAAGTATTCCAAAGGGACGGGCACCCTTTGGGGAAACCCAGATTCAGTGTCTGTTCTAACCATTCTACGGTTGATTTGTCCAATTACACCAATTATTGTGGAATACAAGATTCATGTTTGCAATACGCAAGTGTCAGAACCATTCTCGTTACTCTAATTTTTCCCGAGGGGCCCTTGGGGAAATGGCAGATGTGTTTAGATCATTTCAAGTCTTGGAGTGGTTCCAACTCGTTGAAATAAATACAATAAGACGAAGACGCGTAGCCGTATTTGTTGTTTCTTGTTTGTTAAAGCTTGAATCAGTTAAACAATCGCCTTGCGACTCTCATTATTCCAATCACTTCTTATTGTTCCCACAGGGGACGCGTAAATCGTGTGATCTGTTCTAGTTATTAAAATGAGTCTACCGAATTAGAATATTAAACAACACAGACCAGATAACGCCCTTTGTTTTTCTAGCCACCCGGCTTCTTCTAACTGTTCAAACAGGGGCGCGTGCCTTCTCAGGAAATCAACATCACTTTATTTGCAAGTTCCTGTAATTATTTTGGCTGTTCTAATTATTCCTCAGGGGAAGGATGCCCTTTGGGGAACCCCAGATTCATGTTTCAAATTGTTCTACTCATGTATTCCGAAAGGGACAGGTGCCCTGTTGGGCGTAA